TACCTGCTGTTAGATTTGGCATGCATTTTTATATTTCTAAAGCAGCACTGTAGTGGAGGGAAAAGGCAATCCACCCTTTCCATCCTCAGTACAGAGTTACAGTTGAGCCATTTAATTTTTTTCATCCAACTGAAAGAGCTATAATCCCTGTGAATTATTATCAAGCCCCACTGGGGGAAAAAACCATACCATATCAATCGCCAGCTTCCCCACCAATGTTGTCAATCCAGCAGACACGTCATCACAGAGCTCCGAGCCCAGCCAGCCACCAGCAGACAGGCCACTCACCATCAAAGAGGAAATGATGAAACACATTTCATCATGCTGTCAATTTTAAAAGCTCGTCAGATCTATCTTGCTTGAGCTGATATCACTTAAAATTGTGCATGTAGATGAGTGTTGTTGAATGGCTAATTAATTCATACCTCCCGTTGTTTCTCAGTGTGCTATTATATGTTGCATGAACTTGCATCTGCTAATGCTGGACGAATACTGCAAAAACATGTTTAAAGTCTCCCAGGAGTAGTTTCCTCTGTTCTTGTGACTTCTGTCTACAATATTTGTTAGAAATGAAGCCTTTGACGAGTGCTGTGGGTGATGCGTCAAAACACACACTGTTTTTGAAATGCTGAGCAATATAAGTTCTCAGAGCCAGCCATCCCATTGCGTTAGTTTCTCAGATGATTAGACTAGAAGTAATTCTGAACTACCATCGAAATAATGCTATGATACATTATAGTTCCCAGTTGGGATGACTGAATAAATGGATGGATGGTGGACTGACTGAATTGCATGACACCAGGTTTCAAGGAGCCCTCTGGAGAACAAATCATGGTTCTCACTTGATAATACTTGACAATTCTTCTTCCTGGAAATCACATCATTATAAATTGACTTTACTCACATAGAGGCCACCTTAGACATTAAATGGGAAATCTTGGACAGCAAGTAGCATCAGCCCAGTTAGTATGTCCTTAGTTCATCATCACATTCCCCATAGAAAAGACTCTGAAGAAAATCTTTAAAGAATCATGTAAATGGGATGGTCTCGTGAATCTGGAAAAAGACATGGGTTCACATAATAGTCTCTAATTGCTCGGTACCCTTAGCTAGTAACTAAATACAGAACTTTGCTAGCTTTTAGGTAGCTGGCTAGTAGCTAAATTAGGATGCTAGCTAGCCCATAGGAAGCTGGCAAGTAGCTTAAATAAGGTAACCAAAATTTCACCATTGTCAAATACTATTTTGAAGATTGAGAGTAAATTACCAAAATGTCAGTCTGTGCAATAACTTCAGTTACTGATTAAATGTAACTTTATAAACAGTAAAAAGGAATCTGGTGCAATATTTCACATTTAAAACAACAACCATGTTATTGCTGTCAGATAGTACTCATACATTAGATGAATGGCAATTGACAATTTATTTCACAATATCTATTTCAGATTGGATTGTGTGATGAAATTAGTGCATCCTAAAAAGAAAAATAACCTAAACCCAAAGCTCTTGACTATTGCATATTCACACACACCTTCATTTCATTTAGCCTGTATTACTCTTGTGTCTGAAAAGTTTCTCATAATGTCAAACTGACTTACTATGCAAAAATACTAAAAAAGATGCATTTAAAAGACCAGGGACTGCAAATTGGAGAATTGAAATAAGTAAAGTACAGCACTGTCACTACTTCAGCAGTCAACTAGGCACTCAAATGACAAGAAAAGCAAATGTGAAACAGAGTGTGACAACGCTGACTTACTAGAAGAGTCTGCACTTGACTGAACCAACACATTTCAGCACTCAGGGACTTCACTGATCACTGTTTTTACAGCTCAAGCAAAAGCACAGCCTATATAAACACCAAATGGCCAATTATCCTGTGAGGGCTGGACACATAGAAGGCCGGCATCTAAAGGATGCTTTTCAAAATAAAGGTTCTCAGAACCTCAGAAGTTTTCTTCTGGAGGAACTAATGATACTTTTAGCATTCACATTTATTTTGTAAAGAAGAGTATTGTAGTTTCTGAAAAATCTAGATTTTTAGTTTTAAGTATTGTATTCTGTTTGTGTAGTTTTACATTGAAGGTGGAACATCTGACCTTTAATGCTTCCATTCCTCTTTGGATAATTGGTAATGCTCAGTCATCTGTGATGTATACATTACACAGAGCTCCTATTATTTTGTCCACTTTATTTATTTATTTATGAAGGTAGGCTAAACAACAACAGCCCTTCTCTGTATAACACAATACAAAGAAACAGCACCTCAAACAACAACAACAACAGCACCATAAACTGCAACCTCCAAAAAGTATAACCTCTAAAACAATTTCAACAACTAAACATTATAATCATCATGAATGTTTATTACAGGACAGTAATGTGCGACTGCATTAGGTTTAGTTACGTGTAACTAATAAACTGGCAACTGAGTATATAGGTTTTACTTTTACCCAGTTTTTAAAAAAACCCTGATGAGGGCCATGTGCTTAAATTTATTGGCTGAATTAAATACAAACTCTTCCAGTAATTCAGTTTGTGTTGCCAAGTTATCTTTCACGTTTCAAAATTTAGCCCACATTTCCCGTAAGTCAAACACTAAAGGTTTTCTATTTGTCTTTTCTGAGGAAAACATTCTGCAAATATTTTTTCCCACAGATACTTCAGTTTTTCCACAACCTACCATTTCAAGAAGAAGCTCTGAAAGCTCAGTTTGGCTCAGACAATCTTTCTCTGTGCCATTAGGTAATCCGTCTGGTTTCTGAACAAATCTGTCCTGGTGTCATACAGTGTAAAATGCTGTGTAGACTTTGGCAGAAAATGGGGAATCCTTTGTTACACTCACAGTATATACAGCCTACTAATAACCTACATAATTCTTCAGGTTTCATGTTTGTAGCACCCTACTTTGCAATTTGCTACCCTAGCCTATTATATGAATTTCCATTGTAAAAAGTCATTGAATATGATGACACTATGCTGTTCAAGTGAGAAAGTGCAGATGTCAGTTCATATGCATCATCAAATTGGTCTAGTAGCTGTGCCAGCCAGTGGAATTGGGGCTGTCATAGCAGTGTCAGACAATTGTCATTATCACTCACCTTCATGCTTCAGGACGGCTGCCTGCAAAACTGTTTAGATGGAAGTGTCAACGTTAGGTGAGTGTTCAATAGATACTGATTTTTCCAGAACTTGCATTGTCTCTCACCTTCACATTTGTCATTTGTCACCCTGGTGGTGTCATCCCCAGCAAAGAGGAGTTTCAGGCCAATGAATCCAACACAGCGATGGCAGGAAAAGCCACAGCAGGAGCTCCAATGTGTGAAAGGGTGACAATGACCTCCAATATAACAACACTGTCAACACTTTACAATCAGCAGGGTAGCAGAGAAAGAGTGTGACAGGAGGTGTAAATGAGAAGTCCTATTAAACCAGTGCTGTGTGAGCATGGTGTGATGCCACTGCGCATTTCCTCTCAGCTGGGTTTGTTTTGGTAATGTGGTATGCTGCATACTTTTTAATATATATATCAATGCAAACCTTATGAACTGAGCTCAAGAAAACTTAGCTGCTCTCTTCTTCCTGTAGTTAGGGTGCAAATGTAATTACATTCAAGTTAAAGTTTACAGCTGAGCACAGTTGGCCAAAGTGTTTAGGCAATTTATTATAGTAATAGTAGTATTATAGTATATTTAATTGTCTCCGTCAAATGTAATGACACAGAAAACACGCATGTGTAATCCGTTTATTTTAATATTACACTAACCAGGAAAAAACAATGCCATTGTGTCACTTCGAATCTGAGGCCCCGTCCACACCACTGCGTTTTCAAATTAAAACGGAGACCTTTTGCTACGTTTGCACCTCCCATCCAGGCTACAATGGCGTAAACGAAGACCTAAAACGGAGAAGTTCAGAAACGCGGCCGACCCCGTTTCGCGTTTCAAAACTCCGGAGAGCGTTTCAGTGAAGACGGGCCAAAACGGAGGACTAGAAACAATGACGCAGCCGCTCACGCTCGGCTCACTGATTGGGTCTTAGAAGTCATGCAAAGTAGAAACATGATGCTACTGACCAGGTTTTTGACATAGTATTTTTATTAAAATATTATGTACCATGCAAATTACACTTATCTGCCTACGCCTGTACTGTGCATGTCGCCGTATTTACTTTGCAACGACTCCCAGTCTGTTTTCCGCCGCCACACTCCTGTTAATTCACAGTCTCAGCTCCTTATTGGTGCATGCAAAAAAAACAACCTTCGTCTGTATTTATTTTTTCTTTCGCCAAATCTTCCGCCAAACCATCTGCTTCATGTTTACACCGGCACGCGCATGCCCAGTGTACCTGAACGGCCAATAGATATGCGTTTTCAGTCGTTTTAATGCAGACAGAGATGAACTCCAAAATGCAGCTAAAACGCTGGTATGGACGGAGATCGTATTTGTTTTAATTCTACTAACCAACTAAAACGGAATAGTGTGAATGGGGCCTGATTGTTTCACTACTGTTTAACAGCTATACCTTCTGCAAATTATTTTTTATTTTGTTGAGGAAACGCGTCCAAAATGTGTACTACTATCTTTTGTGCAATGGTATTTGTTAATGTTATTTTATGTAAGTGAAAAGAAAGTAATGTATGGCTTTCATTTTTAAATGGCTAAGAGTGTTTTAAGAAGTCACAACTAGGAGATGTTCTAAATTTAATGCAGTAAACAATGTGTTCAGTGGTTTATTTCTTAATTAAAGGAATAATACCTCTGTAAACGGTCAAAGTATATAAATGTGTTTTAAATTATTAAATGTTGATGAAAAAGATTTGGCTCCATCAACCACATCTGAGGTTGGTTTAACACTGCAACAGTTGCTCTTGTTTTATATAGTCTATGCAGTTGCTCTAATTAGAGATTTATCAGCGCAAAGAAGGATCAACTCTTAGTTGCCCATCTTCACTGAGACTGAATTAAGTACCTATATTTCCGACAATCAAGACAATCAACTTTAAACAATAAAAATATTAATCTTTATTCTTTAAGATAGCATAACAAAGATAAAACCTTAATCTATCATACCATGACAAATTACACAAGAACTATACAACAGTAAACCAAGTGTAACCCAATAACTTTCTCTGGATAAAAGACAATAGTTCTCTTGGTTTTTGAAATCATTACCTCTTCTGTATGCATGTTATATAAAATATTCTTGTGGTGACTTAAGGAGGCAGAAAATACACCGCTGACTATTCTGTTAAGAAACTGAGAATGTTTTTAGCATCTATAAAATATTCCTTGAGTTTGCATTACTTAAACATTTTTTCACAAATATTAACAAAAATTCTCAGTTGCATCATGTTATTTTATGGTTGTTATTTAATGTTTTTTGGCATAAATTCTTCATGTCAGTGGTAGTGAGACATCCTCCCTCCGACAAAATGCTTTAAGCTTGCAATGTGAATGTTATCATTCAAACCATTATCTATTGGCAGGATTGGTTGTAATTATTATTAATCAATGTATAAATATAGACCATTTTGCACTTTACTAGCAGGCAAAGTTGTTTGGTGGTAGTTATAGCGCTGCCTAGCCAACAGGGTACAACATACTGTATGAATGCAAAAAACCCAAATACTGTCTACAGCTAAAAGTTCATCACTGTTAAAGACCTTAACAAACCTCTGGAAGCCAATGGCTGGAATGAAAGTTGAATTTAACAGATTACACTTAACATACACATAAATACCTATTCGTAAATCAACGCTATATACCGTATGTGCTTCTCTTTAGAACAGAAAAATGGACTTTTATTTGGTTTGCAGTCAGAAAAAGAGGCTGCATGGGACAACAGTTGCACAGATTCCGCCACAACCCCGATCTTATACAATAACATTAGAACATGAACAACAGCAATAAAAACACAATAATAAATGAGCGATGTAAAATGCAAGGTATGACTGTATTACACAACATTGGCATTATATAGAAAGAGACGGGATGGTTTGGCAGAAAGGGGTCGCAAAAGCATAATGAAAAAACGAGGAGTACACATTTTTCCGAAAGCCGCTCTGCACTGCTACTGCTTTCTTTTCTTTTCTATTATTTTGCAGTGCTCAGTTGTCAATATCTTTACTTCATCCACAATACTATGAACCTATTCTAAATATCCCTACTTAACCCTAGTATCTTTACAAAACTATACACCACAACACAAAGCAGACAAGGCCAGTGGCACGAACAATTACTCCTAGTTTAGAGCTAATCTAGTATCATCTGATATGCTGTACTTCATTTTGAATTATGCCATTTCTCCTCCTCTGGACAGCCCTGCATGACTACACCTCCTGTCAACCCAATATCCTGCAACAGGCTTTTTATCCATCTCTCTTTTTTCCTATCATGCTATTGATTCTGAGCAAAATCTTGTACATTGTTTCACTGATTATTTACTTACATCTTACTTGCATGGCTGCTGCACTCCACTTACGTTCTTAAAAGCCAGCGAATGTTCTAAAATATAAACCCAGCAGCCACAGCTTAGTAATGAGCTAAGCTTTTATGGTTTACTTTGAACAATCGTGAATGTAGATTGCATTGGGCAGTCAGAATTAGATGAGTTCAGAGTTCTGTAGAGGATGTAGGTCTGCAGGGAAAACATGATTTTGCTCAGAATTGTAATGATGTAAAACATTTACAGACCACGGAAGGAAAATGTTGGTATTTACTCTGCGCCCTGTGTCTTGTACCTTCCTGATTCATTAAAGCTGTAGTTAGGTAGTTTTTTGGCAAAAAAGTCCTTCTATGTATCAAAAATGATTCTGTGTGCATGTGGGCTTGTTTATGTAAACATAATACATGTGTGAGTGTATGTTTTGTGTCTGGCTGTGTCCTGATATCATAAATTGGCAATGTGGCTCCTCACAGGACTCTTTACATCTCGTGGGACAGGGCTTCATGCTGAGCAGCCACTCCATTGGCCTGCAGGGCAGCGAGCTGCTCCTCAGGCTGACCGTTGGCCTTTGGCTGAACAGCAGGATGGTCAGATGGTTGTGAACTGAAATGGCCATTGGATTCATTTAAGCGGCGGACACGATATGTCTCGTAGTGGATGCTGCCTGTGATGTCCTTGATGTTCTGCATGTGTGTCCTGAAAGAAAGAAGTATTACAACACCAGTGAATATGGCGTATTGCTGTCTACAAATGAAATACGTGTTCTTGTATTAGTTCATATGTCTTAGCCCAGAGGTTCCCAAAGTGGGATCCACAGCACGGGCCAAGGGTGCCAACATGATTTTATTTTACTGTGCATATAAATTATACTTGGCTAATTGGTGTATATGTTTTTTGAAAAGGGGAAGAAATGCATTTAACCATTTAGAACAATTATGTTTTATTCATTGCCATTTTATCATAACCATAAGATAACATGTATTTTTCTGAAAGAAACCGAGGAAAGGCCTATATTTTTTCAAGTAATATTAATGTTAATTCATAGATAAAATCAATATTATTTGTTTTGATAAATTCAGATATCCACAGCAGTTTTTAGTTGAAAATGGTGCATGTGTATGCATGCGGTGGGAATGGGTGTGCCATGAAAAAAATCTTTGAGTATGATGAGTATGATGGAAGCTCACCTGATGAGGAGGTCTCGCATGTAGGCAAACTCACAGTGTGCAATATTCTCAACTGCAGAGAGAGAAAAGAGGAAACATTAGGTGAATTACATAACTTGAGAGACGACCAACACAGGAAACCGTTTGAAGTAATGACATTAACTAAATAACGTTGTCAAAGTCCTTTCTATTCCAGCTCACTTGCTGTTCCTTACAGCACCACAGAGTGTCAGAGTTGCTCACAAGTCAACTGGAGGGCATCCTCTAACATGACATTATACGCAATTTTCTTAAGCCAAGATAACACACTTATCCACTTTCGAGTAATTTAACACATCTCGGCTCTCCTCTATATTGGAGAATTTTAAGTGAGACGTTTTAACAAACTCCCAGTGACAAGCTGCCGGTGCCTCCAGTAGGCCTAACACGTGTTTGAATTATAGATTATGTCAAGAATATAAATGAAAAAAAGGAGGGTGCTATTTATGTAAAGCTTTGAAATCCAGGGGCAGGAAATTAAATTCTCTTTGAAAGGAGGAGAGTAGAATAACTGCTGGGTCTGTGAGTGCTGATTAGTGGCGTTGAGGGAACACGCTACTAACTTGTAACAAGCTGCACTTCTGGTATCTCCACTCCCAACTCATGGGGAAGCATGGAGAAGTCCCTATGTTCAGTACAATAAATACATTTAAATACATATTCTTTTTCTTCCCTCTGTCTCTAATTGTGCCCTCAACCCCTGAACATAAACAGTTTCTTCTCCATTTATGATATATAGAGACTTGACTTCTAGCTTCTCCCCTGAGGCCTAAAAAATTATAATGCGGGTGCCAACAAGTCCAGCAGCTTCCTCTCTCCTCCTTTTCCTTGTTCCCTCTCTCCCACCGCTTGGTTTTAATTGAATGGAGCCATTGTTCTTTTAGCCGGACAAGACGCCATTTGTCCCGCAGTCCATGTACTTCACCTCTCTCACCCACTCTCTGCAGTTCTGTGGAGTTATCTTCATAAGGCTTGCTGAGAGAGTAATAGTCACCTTCAAATTCCTAACACTAAAACAGCTCATGGTACTACCTCAGAAATGTCATCTTTTCAGAGAGTACAACTGCCTTGTTTTAAGTTGGACTAAATGCATTTCTCAGGGTCAAGTAGGAACGATGTTATGCTGCATTATAAGTAAAATCATTTTAAAACGCACATGAATGTTTTATCATTTTAAATCTTTTATATCTTGAATAGACTGATATCCCAGTATCCCGTGCTCACTTGCCCACACTGGAGTCTTATGATCCACTATGTTGTTTTAATGATTTTTAAGCCGTGATGGAAGAAGTACTTTACTTAAATATCAATACTCCGTTACGTTAAGTAGGCTAAGCGTACTTGATTCAAAAGAATAGCTAAGTAGGTGTACATAATATTATCATTAAAATATACAAGTATCAAAAGTAAAAGTACTTTAGCCCTGTGACTGATATATTATTAGATTGTTAATATTTATACATGTACAACTGTTGTAGCTTGTTGAGGTGCAGCTAGTTTTAAAGAATTAGATAGTTAAGTCCAGTGGTTCTCAATCTAGGGGTCAGACCACACCGAATGGGGTCATGAGATGATTAATGTAAAAAAAAAAAAAAAAAGTTTTAATCTTTGCTTTTTGTGTAATACGGGATAATTTTATCTCTTTGTGCCTCGAACATTTATTTAAATTAAACCATTTGAGAGATATAGGGGGGAAATCTCTCATTTCATCATCTCTAATTTGAAAAGAAACAGTAAACTATAGCTGTAAGATGATACAATATTTCTCTCTGAAATGTACTGGAGTTAAGCAGCATAAAATAGAAATACTCAAGTAAAGTACAAGTACCTCAAAATTGTACAGTACTATGTAACTTTTACAATCTTTAAGAGTTTAGCAATCCCTGAGCTACATGGATATATCTTGAGTTGCACATGTTTCTCAAAATATCTTTGAAGGTCATATTCCCAGTGAACAATCGGGGGTTCCCGACCACACTGAATCACAGATAAAATAGACAGAATAGCAGCTTTCTAGATTCTATGAGGTGAATAATTTAGATGATATACAAATTTATTTAATTACGTGATTTATATTTTACAATGCATTTATAGAACAGCCAATAAACTAGAGCTCAGTATGCCATACAGGAGAATGTGCTGAAGTGCCTTATGGGAAGGAGTCCCTTGTTCAGGCCTCCTTCAGCCATCTTATTGTCCTCCAACTATACTTACTCACTCACTAACTCTCTCTCTCTCACACACACACACACACAGAGGAGGTGATGACATTCACTTGCTAAGAACTCCTTGGCAGTGTGAGCATGCAGCACAGGCCAACAAATGTAAACTGTTTCAAACTTACTGTTTGCTTGTGTGAGGCAGTGTGTGTGAGTGTGTGTGTGTTTTATGTTCCTGTCTGTTATCCCAACGGACACAGAAAGTCCTTGTAAATCTCTTCCTCCTGTCTCAAACATCTCCCTAGTTACAGACTCAGATAGACGTATGTCAACAGACGGTTAAACCAGCTGGCCAGATTTTAAAACTGCAGTTCGTAACTTTCCACATGTTGAAAATTGAAAACCAGACTCTGTTGTCTTCTCTGCAAAGCTGTTGCACCTTGTTGTGGTTGGTACGTTGTGAGAATGCCATCGTGCATATGGTTATATTATATTTTATTAGTGATAAAGTTGGATGGCCCCTGCATTGTCAACTGCCCAGGTGTGAGTACTTGAGTATTCCGTTTCGAACTGCTTTTGAACGGCTCCGTTCTACGACATACGGAGCTAGACGGAGCCGGTGTTCCACGTATAGTCATTTTCTCCGCACAGCAACGGCACAGCAACAGCACACCAACGCTCAGTTTGTCTTTACCCGACAACAACAGCCTGGTAACATGCTTCAGGTCTTGGCCAATCAGAAGACAGTGGGCTCAGAGACAGGAGCATCTACAGCTTGTTTCAGACAGAGGCTGAAATGACGAGCCAGTGTAAGACAGATTATACAGACAAATTATTTTTTTGAACTTTTAATTATGCAAAGCTGCCGTACAGAAGTCACAAAACTACAATATGAGACTGGAAAAGCAGTATAATAGGTCTCCTTTAAAATACTCAGCTGTGTTTGGCAACCGATGCTGGCAGTGGTAGTGTTAGCATGGCTAATCTGTGTTTAGACTGTCAGGACACATTCTGCCAAACATACAATAGTGTGTGCATATGTTTCTAAGGATTCACATGTGTATTACCCTCTATGGTGCCCCATTTTGTTTTCCTTCCCAGAATCCTCTTGCCGTTCACCTGGTACTCCTGGTCACTGCCCACAACAGCAAAAGGGATCATCTCCTGTTGAGTGCACACACACCATCACACAAATGCACAAAGTTATTGACGTGTTACCAGTGGTTTGTTTTCAGATCCTGCTTTGGTTGTTAACCTTTGATAGAACAAGATGCAGAAAATGACAAATCAACACTTTCAAGATTGCCCAAATAAATACAGGAAAGAATAGGAGACAAAAAAAGAAATTACATCTAACAAAGGCTTGAATTTCTACCTGCAAAATGCATGTTTGTGATTGTTGTGTGGAGTGCTGAAGCCTACTCTCTTACTGTGGCTGTTGAAATCTGAACTAACTGAACCCGATATTGTGAACTTACTCTGATTTTGTCATTGATCAGCCTGTCCTCTGCATCCTCGTCAAACTCTTTCTGTGGGTAAACATCGATTCCATTGGCTCGCAGCTCTTCCCTAATCTGCACAAAGCCAAGCACAATGACACACAGAAACATTATGTCAAATTGCCTTAATATACATAACAATATCACACAAAATTATCTTATATACTATAAAATTGTCCACTTTAAAGCAGTCTTTAAAGTCTTGGTAATCAAATTTTGAAGAGGGTTTTCTCACAACTGCTGAGTCATAAACATCACTACACTTAGACAAAGGTTTCCGTAATGAGAGCTGAAGTCCGACTGGCAAACAAAAACAATCAATCAGGCCCAAACCCTTCATCCATCATCTCACCATCCCAGCCAGAAGCCACTATAACACACAAACACACTTGATGCTGGGACTGAATCCTGTTTACATACAGGTATTTAAGTTTGGGCCAGAGACTTGAATAGAAGCTGCTCAGACCCACAAGAGGACTTAAATAAACACTTGGTTGTGTTGTAATGGCTGGCGTTGACACTAAATGGTTCCTAATATCCTCGACACAGAGGAGTTAACATGGAGGTTCACCGCTCTTAGGAAAAAAATACATCCAGACAGAGGTATGGCTTATGAAACGGCCACTTCTATTCTCTGTATGTCTTTATAATGACTGAAACACTGATGCAGAAAAATAGACAGACAATTCTGGGAGAAACGTCCTTTTAATGAATGACTGTTCGCTCCCACAATTACTACTCTGACAATTTCCACTTGGTCCTTGATGAAACATTTCATTGTTTATCTTTAAAGGCTTTCTCAGGCTCACATTATAGGATGCAAACCAAGTGAAATTCTACAAAAAAGCCACATCAACTGTTGGTTAGAGGAATGCGAACAGCTGGACACACTGAGGCCGAACATTTAATAGGAAAAAAAACCTTTTATTCTGTTTGCATGTCAAGTTGCTGCAGGGAAAGTGTGGGGAAAAAACATTTGGCACCAGAGGCTTTTAGTCAATAATCTTCAGGGTCATACAGAGCATGTGTGGCCAAGCAAAACAATCCAGCTACAAGCCCTGCAGCTTACATTCTATGCCAGGGCCTGGTCCAATCCCTGCTTTGTTCTTATTGGACGGTGTTACAAGCATCAGGGGAAAACGGTAGCCAAGACACCCACCCACCGTGCTTCTCTAAAATGAATTAAGCTATTCGTGAAGTCTCAGTCTTGGAAGGAGGGATGGAGAGATAAAGGACCTGATGGAGGAAGGCAGGTGGGCTGTCTGCCTCCTGTGGATTGAGAATTATCTAACAGAAACACACAGAGGAAGGGATGCATGAACATTTAAGACTCAAGCCAGGTAAAGCAAGAAACTGCTGTAGCAAGGAAAACCATGATAACAAGGTGACGGCTATGACATTACAGTGGTGCATTATCAGCCTTGTATGCTAGTTTGCTACAAACGAGACTACTGTAAAATACCAAGCAAGAGCAAAAATACCCTGAGAGGAACAACAACTGACTAGCATACTGCTATATCTAAAATCTGCCTTCAAACGAAAGCCTGCATATCTTTACATTGTTTAGTCTGCATATATTTAAAATGCCTACATTTCACTTTTTCTATAGTTGCTGACGTTAGTGCAGGTACAGTACACCGTGTTCACTATCTTAGTTTAGAGTGTTAGAATTTGCTAAATTAGCATGAATCATAAAATACAGCTGAGGGAGTGTAATAAGTTAAGTGTGTCTAGATGCTCTGTGTAAAAAGTGCAATGAAATAACTTCTGCTATAAACTAAATTACTGGGTCCAAAAATGAAAAGTTAGGGGACCAAAGTCATTAGGATTCATACTCTGGCCATCATGAATATCTGTAACAAATGTAAGGCAATCCACCTAACAGCCATCAAGATATTTCACAAGAACAAAAATGTGTACTTTATGGTGGTACAAGAGGAAGCAAGGAGATCACAAAAAATTTTCAGAGACATCACCTGGGAATTATGAATGTCTGTACAAACTTTGGTTTTCTAGGTCAAGTATAGTTGATGATATATTTTAGTCTGGAATTAAGAGGTGGCCCGACTGACTGTTAGCATTGCTAAAATAAAATAAGCAGCACTGCTGAACTGTGTGAGCAAACTGTAAAGAGCTCTGGTTATCACCAAAGTATCAAAAACATGGAAATTGACTCTGATTATTTGTAGAAACCAATGAAAAGTCCTTGATTACTAAAATGCTACTTTCTAGCTCCTTTAATTCTGTTCATGTTTCAGAAACGTCATGTTTTCTTTCATGTACCACACAGTGCTGACCTCTCTGAACTTTTCTGACTTTTACAATCACCCAGTAATTCGCTGGTAATGAAGGGTCTGCCCACTCGTTTGGCAACTGGGCAGAGGTTCCCAATCTTAAAAAAAAGACACAAGAGTTGTGGAAAGCCTCTCAGTAAATAAATGCTTCAAATAAATGGTTCTTAAATGTTTCCGTTTGGACTGAGTATGACTTTCGAAGTGTTTCAGTTATAGAGATGATACAGTATTTCCCAGGATGGGTACAGTGTGGGTTTGCCCCGATGGCTTTTGTTTGCAGTACCTGGCAGTTCTTATATGTTACCGACCTGTGGTTGTGGATATGCATGCACAAGTGTTTTTGAGGGGAATCTGCCAACTGTTTGACCCACTGATGTGCTCATCCATTTATTTTAAGCTTACCTTAAAGACCTGCTTCAGGTTTTTGCAGGTGTGATAGGGAGATGACATTAATCAAAGTCACATGTGAAAACCAGTTCCACACACGCACACTATATTTTCAGACACTGCAAAAGCACCTCTTCCATCCACAACCACACTCCCTTCTCACCATCTGTTTAAAGTAGTCCCTCTCCTCCAGGGTGAGTGTGTCGGCCTTGGCGATGACAGGGACGATGTTGACCACCTTGCTCAGATGTCTCATGAACTCCACATCCAGAGGCCTCAGACTGGAGGAAGACGGAGATGACTGAGTACAACTTCACTTTATGCATAACTATGTATAACTATATGCATCTGCTGTTAGGGTGCTTCAAATTAAGGTGTCTTGGGCTCTAGGAGGAGCCAGCAAAGTAACAGAAAATGCAAAACACAACACTGCAGATTCATTGCTCACACAGATACCAAGGTGGGAAACATTTTCTTTTTTTTTTATTCCTACGCTACATCCCACC